AACACAACTATTTTATTTATAATCCTAAATTAAGGATATAAAATCTCCCACACCAAAAAACTTACAATTGGGTAACGCCGCTTCGAATTTTTCACAATTGAGCAATTGTCAAAAATCTGCTTTTTAATCAAAAAGTTGTTTATTGAAACTACCTTCTTTTTTGTATCATGGGAAAGTTTAGGAATATGCAGGGTTTGTATTTGCACACACATGCTCTGCTCACACACACGCCAGAAACACATTCAACTTCCCAGCAAACATTTGGAGTCATAAATGAGTCTTTAAGGAGTCCTATTTCGGAGCCATTACGCTCATAATGAGCTCATTTAAGAGTCCGATATGAAGGTGTTTCCCTTCCTGCGAAGGTCGTCCTATATGAGCTTAAATTCATACAACAAATGAGCCTCAATATGAGTCATATTGGACTCTTATTGGCCTAATATACGGCTCATTTTGGACTCTTTTAAAACAATTATTGGCCTCATATATGAATCATTTCAGACTCTTTTCGAGCCTCTAATCAGCGTCATAAATTACTAAATTCCTAAAAACCTAAATATTTTAGGTTGTTCTTTGAGTCTTATTGAACGCCCTATATTTGCAAAAGCATTCAGCGAAAATTCCTTTCAAATAACATGCATACATACTTACGTGCATATACACATTCCAACATGCATGCAATAGCAGCAGCTGCAGCTAAATTTTGTTCATTTATTGTTTTCTAATTATTTTCAATTTCTGTATAAACAAGTTTGGATATAAAATTCAAATCTTTATTGTTTTTATATTGGCACAAGGTGCTGGCTTATAACTTGGATCATATATGAGTCCTAAAAGATTCATATAAGAGTAAAAAATTTTGGTTTTTGAAACTCATATTTCTTACCTACCTAGGACTCCCTTCGGACTCATATATTCTGAACGCTCAGAATATGTTTGCGGGGTTGTACTCACTGCTCATACACATGTGTGTGCATAAGTGGAAAACAAACTCTGCTCACAGAAAAGTGTGTGCTGTTTGTTATTAAGCACATGCACATGTGTGTGAGCCGATTTTTGTACAAATTTCAGCCCATGCACATGCACATAATATATTTTTAAAAGAATTTGTTTATTAAACGTTATTTTTTTGAAAGACAATTCAATAACAAGTGAGGTGTTGTTTGTTTTTTATAAGACAGAAAACATATTAAAAAATTATTTTAAGATTTGAGATAGAAATCGAAGTGTATAAGTTTCTCTACGCAAAGCACACACATGTGCGTGTGCTTTATATTAATAAAAATAAAGTACACACATGTGATGTGAGCAAGTTTTTAATTTTTTATATGCACTCACACACGTGTGCGTAAAATGTTAGGATGTGCTGCGCATGTGTGTGCAAATACGAACCCTGGGAATATGTCTATAATTACGTACTTTTCATATGCTTATATCACGAATTAAAGATCGCTGTCCAAAAATGCTTTGCATACATCCATGTGATGAAGATGTAACTTTACCCCAGTTGCATATGCCTGTACTAATCATATGGTCTCAAACCGGCGCAATATCTTCATATTTAACGCCATTGTTCTGTGAACACTCCTTTTCCATCAGACGTGCTTTATACCACTCAATGTAACCAATTTTGTTCATTTTCAGAGCATATACCCACTTACTACCCGGACTACCCTTTCGGTAAATATACCAACGACCACATATTATTTGTTCTTAGAACATTTTATTCCGAGCTTCTCCTCCGATTTGTGGCGTGCGCCTTGATGTTGTCACACAAAGAGAAGGGACCTACAGTTTTACGCCGACTTCGGCGATTGTATTTTTATGAGAAGCTGGCAGAAATCTTAAGAAAAAACCGGTTGTATATATGTTTTTGTGATGTTGCTTTGACCTGGGCTTGAACCCTGGCCCTGTGTAAACCTTCAGAGAAAAGTTCACTTGGCACGCAAGTCTTTTTCAGGTGTATTTTTTCTTAGGCATTGTATAAAACAAATAAAAACTGTATAGGGTTGTTCGAATGAATGGCCGTCGTAGTCACCAGTTGCGGTCTATTCGATTTTTGAGTATGAGGCCTTATGCAGGACAGAAGGGGGAGTATAAGGGACTCAAAATGGAGAAAATTAGCTTATGGTTATAGAAGATATGGAATAAATTAATTGACGAAGACCTGCGTGCCAAATGAACTTTTCTTTCAAAGTTTACACTGCTGGCAAATGTAAATAGGGATTAAAATTAAAAACTAATTAATACAACTAAAGGACCCTTTTATTTCTCAAAAAAACCTGGGTAACAGTTATTCCTCGCCAAGCTGTAGTTTAAAAAAGGTATTTCTCTTTAAACAAGACGTGGCAAAGCCTACTAGGTGTAGCCTAGGACTGAGTACAACCGACTGGAACGAGCGTGCGAGCCTAGTGCTAAATACTTGAGTTTAGTAACGGGGCGAGGCAGTTCTTGGACAGAACGATTAAACATCCTCGAGTTAAAGTCCCACACTGCCGGGTATAAGTTTTCGATGCTTTCTTTATGTGTAAGTTTTGTGTGTGTGTGTGTGTGTGTGTGTGTGTGTGTGTGTGACAACTACCCTGCAGGAAATTAAACTAATTTGAAAGTAATTTATAAACTACTTTATTTTCAATAACAACAAATTGAAATTCTTATTTTACCCCTGAAACGAACTGATTTATTTAACATGGCGATGTGCTAGGAAGCTGTCAATTATCCGACTCTTCATTTGATTTCCACTACTTAAAAACGGATATGACTTAAATTCGTTTGAATACGCTTTCGTTCTGTACTTCGCAGTTGATTTTCATATTTCTTAGACACAAAAAACAATTAGTACCATTTTCACAGCTAACAAGAAACCGCGAGCAACTCTGCACACTCAGCTGCAGCCAGACTTTGCTACAGTCTGCCTTCAAATGTTCAGTTTGAGTTGTGTGCAAGCAGCAAGTCGATGGCGGACTCCGCATTTGATTTCAACTACTTTAAAGTGGATTTGGATTAAAGCAGTTCAAAGGCTTTTTCATACCTCCTAGACACAAATGGGTTTTTCGACTAAAAATAGTATCAAAATTCGAAACATTTGATTTAAAGAAAATCACTTGCCTCCATCAGGGTACCTGGCAGTGCGAACGGTTTCTGTACTAGAGAATTTGGAACCAGTGTTGCCAAACATGGGCTTTTCCTACCATAACTGGTAGGTTTTTTTCCATTTGGTAGGTTGGTAGGATAGATTGGATTTTGGTAGGTTCCACGACAATAACAGTTATTTGCGACAAATATAAAATATGTATCTTCAAACACTTTAACAACTTTGTTTACACGAATCTTTCACCGGTGAAGTCCACCATTGTCCATCTGACCGAGACTTTATTGTAAGACTTGAGGAATATTACCAAAACTAACCTATTGAACTTTCAATATGGTAGTAAGATCCGTTGTCACATATGCGGCACTGGCCTGGTGACCAAAAGCTACGCAAGTAAAGGAGGTTTTCACCTTTAGGAAGCTGCATCGACTGGTCTGCGTGGCCATTACAGGAGCTATGGGCACGTGTCCAACGGATGCCATTGGTGTCATTACAGGCGTTTTTCTTTTGTCTATCCTGTTTGAAAGAGGTCTGCAGGAGCGCCCTACGACTGCCTAATATGATCAGCAAGAAAATCTGCTGTGACGTGTTAATAACTACGATTGAGTAAAGTTCCCAAGTATGGTATACCGACGGATCAAAGATGAATGAAGAGAGTACTGGGGCAGGCGTATTTAGACCAAAATTCCAGAAAGTCTGCCTATTTACGCATACCCAACTACATTCCAGGCGAAATCCTTCGCAATCGTAGTCTCTGTAGAAGGACAAATGGGACCAAATTAAATATTATGTCGGATATTCAGGTTGGTTAAACGCTTTAGACTCTTTTAAAACGGCATCAGGTTTGTGGACAGCTGTAAAACTCTTTTGAACCAATTGAAAACCAACTATAACGTAACGCTGTGTGGGGTTCCGGGACATGAAGGGTTTGAAGGCAACGAAAGCTGAGTCTCGCAAAGCGTGGAGCCCAAACGCACTTGCATGGTTCCTAGCCTTTAGTGAGCTGGTGGAGGAAACTCCAGAGCATATTCTATGTGACTGCCCACGTATCATAAATACCAGACTCATATACTTCATTCAAAATTTTATTTAAACATGACGCCCTCCAAAGTGCCTAACTTCTGAAAGAGAATAAGGTTGGAGTGATTAGCATTCGCTAATGTAATAACGACAATTTAAAATACTTCTTAAGACAATTACAAAACTTGCTAACACAATCGATCTCTGTTTTACAACTGAACTTGCAGCTTGCTGATTCGCAACTCAACTTTGAGCTGCTTCGCACTCATGACCGCTCTAGATGTTTCTACCATCAATCGCACATTCTCTCATTCTCTCGCTGTTCACAGCATTCTTCCACTTGACGTTTCTCTATGTCTAATATCCCACGTCTTTCGTCGAACATTCTGCCATTTTCTTGTTGTTCGCTTCGCGTTGCCGCAGTATTCGCGACAATATTTATATATATATGTATCTACATGTAAGTAGGTTAAGGGCCGGTGTCGGTTAATCAATGTCTGTTTAACATCAACTACATGTTCAATATCGCTATCGACTCCCTCTTATATGTTATGGAGTCGATCGCGTCGATAACGATGTTTAACCTGCTGTTACCGTAAATCCTGCATGATTTTTGACATTTCTGATATTAATTCACCTTGATATATATATTAATATCAGGATCTTAAAAAATATTTGTTTGACGAAATTTTCTCTCCGAAGTGAACTAATGTCAATGACAATATTTTCACATTTCTTCTGACATTAACTCACTTTTGGCTTGTCTGCTAATGTCAATGACATTAATTCGCTTACAAAAGGTAGGTAATTTATGTTAATAGACATTAACTACAGTGGTATTATTGCACGTTATCTGGTTGTATTTACAATGTTTTTTTTTTTAACTTACATGTGGCTGAGAAGCAATAAATTTCTGAACGTGCCTTTGCGAATTTCCTTAATGCGATTATTTTCCAAGTATCTGCAATTACAATTAAAATAAAATAATAGTAAAATACGTGCATCGAGTATTAAAATAAGAAATTGTCAATATAAATAAACATAAGGCTACTGCATTTTGCTACTTAAAGACACTAAAATTTAAAAAAATAAATAAAATTTTTTAAATGAATTATATGACAATATATAATCAATAATTTCTATAACGCTTGTTAAATATTGTCCAATAGTACGTCATATTTTTTCGAAGGATATTCGTACTGTCGGTACTTTTTTTAAATGATTATTTATATTAGCTTTTGTAAAAGTATGTAATTACCAACATATGTACATACATAAGCTTAAACTGCACATTCGGTTGCGCCTAGTATGGCTGACTTTCAAAACGTATCAATTAGAGATGTTAATTTTCCGGCTTTTTCCGATCCCGGGATTTTCAAGACGGTGCGCTGTGCATCAGTGAATTAGAGCTGGCAATGCTTCTCGTTGATATCAATGCGAATTGTACTGATTGTCAAAAAAGATGTATTTGTGCATGTTAGTCACTGTGCGTATAATTTCTAGAGTAGTTTTTGTGCTCCCGCTATCACCTTGTATGAATTCGTCTTTCGTTTATATACTCTGATGAACATGTGTGAAGATTATAGCAAGGCGAACTCATATAAGGTAGCGCTACAGGAACAGTTGAAATTTTCGCCCCGGTGTTTCTTAAAGAAAGCCATAAACGTAGCGACCGTTGGTTCAACTTGCTGATGTCTTGCTCTATGTTGCACCGTTTGTGGGCTTGTTGAATGAATTTGTGTCTTAGTTGTATGACTTATTAAAAATTTACGACTTTCTGGCTAGTTGTACAACTCGTGGCTACATTAATAGCCATGTTGTACAAACTCATTATATTTTACGTTTATTTCGTTCACTAAATAACCCAAAAGGGATTACTCAGCCAAAATTTGTACGTGCTTTCGCCGAATTTTATAAATGTAAGCCGATACTATCAAATGATAATGAGACTGCTCACAAAATTGGAATGTTTGTGGGCAAAACGTCCAACTTGATTGCGGATCGATCTGAACTATTGGTCGCAACGGTTAAGGTTTGCATTATGTCAAAATGATGTTTTTGTTGTAATTCATTCTGTTAGTTACTGCCATTTCATGCGTTTGAGTAGAAACTGAGTGCATGAACATCATTTCATGAATTCAATTATAAGCGAAATAGAGTTTACGCACTGAGTTTTTCAAAAAAGTAAGCTCTCTAATTTCTCTATATGCTGGTATTATGCAGTAAAAATGCTGACATTATGCACTAAAAATATACACTGGGCAATTATTTACCTTTCAGCAAAAGCTAGAGCAAATTTTTGTTATAATTTGTTGAAAAAACCTAAGGTAAAGTCCCCCTTGCCCATATGATTAGCATGTGCTAAAAAATTGTTTTTCGCATTTTCTCACGAACTTGTATCTTATGTATGGTCCGATTTGCTTGAAATTCGGTACACGTATTATAGATATAACGGGTGATTTTTTTGAGGTTAGGATTTTCATGCATTAGTATTTG